GTTCCCTGAGTAGGGAACGAGACACTGCGTCCTCTAGGTTTCTTGCCATGCTGCGGACGCAAGCTTCAGACGAAGAATTGAATGATGTGTGCTCCTGGCGCCTATTTATACTATAGTCGCACCGGTAGTGACGTCATGGCTGTCGCCGGCCAACGAGTTGGTGTTTTTTCAATGTATGCTTCAGACACGGGTCACGACAAGGTGTTCCCCATAGCGACCCCTAGAGGACGCAGTGTCTCGTTCCCTACTCAGGGAACCATGGTTACATAAGTAACCTGAGACGTTTTCCCCTTCTCAGGTAGAAAGGAATTAAATTTCATCAGTAAATTTAATCCCTTTATCAGGAACTGGATTTTCCTTTTTCCTTCCTTCCGGAAGTTAGCATCCCTAGGCCTAGACCAGTGGTATCAACGTGGTGCCCGCACACTATGGATTAGTTTAATAACAGATCACACAGCAGAAATAAATGTGACAACAGCCAGTCAGTGAATGTGGCAAATATGTCTGCATGTCTACGTATGAATGGCATGTCTATGCCACGATTTCACAGTGTTTTCTTTGTCTGCCTGTCAATATATGAGAACAATCCGTCAAAAATAAAAGTTTGTTTTAACTTGAAGAAATTATGACAGAAATATATTACTACTGTATACTAAAACGTAATTCTCAACGTAATAATAATAATATTATATATTTTTAAGAAATATCATACAACCAATTTTTTTCCCTATTAATTTATACAGTTGTCCAGCATCTTAATTGACAAAAAAATAAAAATTCAATGTTTGGTTGTAAATTAAATTTCATATGATTAAATTTTTTTAAAAGATTGATTAAACTGTTTAAAGTTTTATTAATTCATAATGGATTTCATGGGGCCCTAAATTAAAAGGTAGCTACTCTGTGGAGTTTAATTGTAAACAAAGTTATGTTTACCTTCATTCTAAGCATTTCCTTCCCCATTAATGGTGAATGAATATTTTGATGTTCAAAAAAAACTTTTATTAAGGACACACTCGGTCCAAAAACACAGACAATAACAACAGAAAAAAAAAACACAACAGAACAGAATCCACAATATCATATATTTACATATATATTAAAACGCCAATGGTTCCACATACTTGAGAAAAGTCTGACTGAACTTAGTCCTTGGCTCATCAGTGTTGAAATTATACTGTTTACAGATTTCAATAACCTACACATACATCTGTACATAGTATTACGCATCACAGCAGCGCACATTGCTACACTAACACTGACAAACATGTGGCTTGCACTGCTCCATCGTGGCACTTTAAGCAGCAGCCTCATACCATCGTTATAAGCTACATTGAGTTTCTGCATGCTGCTCTTTCTGTAATGCCCCCACAAATGGGCAATATACATAGGGGTACAATATGCTTTAAAAAGTGTAGTCTTCACAGCTCCTGAGCACATACTAAATTTGTGAATCAGCATATTAGCCTGTGCATACATCATATGACACTGTCTGTAAATGTCTCTATCATCAGACAGGTCATCAGTTTTATAATGCCCTAAGTATTTAGTCTAATCACATACTTTAAGGACACTACCAGAAAAGAAGTCAGGAAATGACAGTTTGTACAGTTGTACAAATGTACAGTTTTCTGATGAGCATACCAAAAAGCCAGAATTCTCACTAAAGATTTGGGAAATCCTCTATTGTGTTACTTAAAAAATTATTTTTCATGATTTACACTATCTAAGGCTTTAGAGGCATCAATAGAACACATCAAATTTGTAGTAGAATTATGCCTGTTACACACATGTGCCATGTTTACGTTTAAAACCAAACTGGTTATCAGAAGTCAGGAAAAACAGTTCCAACTTATTCAATAACGTCCTTTCAATAACCTTGGATAAAATACTGGCCAGAGCTATAGGCCGGTTATTATCCATGCTATTTATTTTGCCAGCTTTGTCCTTAATAATAGGCACTAACACAACAGATAAAATAGAATCAGGTAAAATACCATGAACTAAAAACCCAGTGAAACAAATGGGGAGCAGAGGACAGAGTTTTCTACTTGCAAATTTTAAATGTTCAGCAGATATCTTATCCATACCACATGCCTTATTATCTTTTAGCATCATAACTGCATCATGAAATTCTTGTGGAAAAACATTAACAACTTCATGATTATCAATGTTGCCCACTACAAAAAAGTTACTTTTAACAGCTCATAATAATGTATTTGCCAGAATTGAGTAATTTCCTCTGACCCACTTACCCCATCAATATTCGTTGGCAAAGATGTTTTACAATTATTCATTCTTTTTATTTCCTTCCAAAAGTCATTTGGATTATTATTTTGATATTGTATAAATAAATATTGATATTGTATGTCACGATCTCTAGCTGGAGTGCCCACAAGCTCCGCTAGAGAGCACCCCATCCTGTACCCTTTACCATTCACCCCGGACTCCATTCTTTGCTCGGACTCATTATCAATTGCAATCATCTCATCAGTCTCACACACTATAAGAATGGCACACACACACTCTCACATCGCTGGTTATTGAATGTTTGAAAACTGCTCAAAAAACCTACATTAAACACTTCACTTACAGATAGCTACAGACCTGTCTCTCTCCTTCCATTCATAGCGAAAACCCTCGAAAGAGTTGTTTTCAACCAGATATCAATGTTTCTTTCACAGAACAACAAACTGGATCCTAACCAGTCAGGTTTCAGGAGTGGCCATTCAACTGAGACTGCGCTACTGTCAGTCACGGAAGCCTTGCGGATTGCAAAAGCTGATTCCAAATCATCAGTTCTTATTCTGCTGGATCTTTCTGCTGCTTTTGACACTGTCAATCATCAGATCCTCCTGTCTGCCCTCTCTTCAATGGGCATCACAGGGATTCCACTTCGCTCCTAGTTCTGTCAGGACCACTATCGTCAAAGATGATTGACAATTAGCATACAGTTTGGATTGGCGGTATGGTTCCGTTCTGGGCAAGAACTCCCTGCGCATCCATGCAGCCTAGCATGGATGAGAGCAGGGAGAGCAGCTATAACCCCCCCCAGGGTAAACAGAACAGAACCAACATAAATGTATTGCAGATATCGTTAAAGTTCAATAATGTTATGTACACATTTTAGAATTAGTCTGATTCAAAGGAGAATCAGAAGGCTGAATCCTGACTGACAGAGGAGGAGTTGGGGATGGAGGAGGGTAATTAGCTATTGAGCAATGCGAAAACTGCTGATACTACTGCGGGACCTTATATAAGAATACTTAGATAGGTGTCGTATTCCCATAGGTTGATGGGGATCAGCTGAGAGTCAGCTGATGCGAGCTTGACTAACGTGACCTGCCAGAACTAACGCTACATTTTCCTGTGTGTTCCTTGTTTTCTGAGTCTTGCCTTGCCCTATTCTATTAAAGCCTGCCCTTGGATCCCCAACTCCGTTGTTGCCTCTCTCGTTACAGTATGTTATGGCAGGAAACATATTAAGGAAAATGTGTTCAAATTCATATTTCTATAAATTTTTCTGGAATATTTTCTAGCATTTATTGGTGAATATATATATATATATATACACACACACACACACAGAGAGAGTGGGGGGAAACAAGTATTCAAATCATCAACATTTTTTTAATTAAACCGTTCCAATACAACAAATCGCATGAAATTTTGACCAGACATTGGCATTAACTCAAGAAATATACACAGGTAAAGAAATCATAATATTACAACTCATAAAAAGTTGTATTTAATAAAGTGGAATGATACAGGAAAAAAGTATTCAACTCGAAGAAAAAGCAGTACACCAAGTCAAAGCAAGGCAAGGTTGCAGCTGATTTTACTAAGCAATACCTACTACATGTGCAAATTAGGATCAGCTAGGTTAGTGCATGTTGATAGGTTAGAAAAGGGCTTGCACACCGCTGAATGCAAGTATACAAACATCTCATGATGGGTAAAGTCAAAGAGCTCTCCTTTGCAAAAAAGATTGTTGTGCTACATAGCAATGGCACTGGTTACCAAAGGATTTCACAACTCCTACATTTTCCTGAAAGCACCATTACCTTCAAGTGGAAGGAACATCACTCCACTATCTATGTATCCCTTCAGGGAGCCCTCACTCACTCGACCCCTGGCCTTGACAAAAACATTTTTCCATTGGCTTTTGGATTGCTGCAGAAAATAAGCTCTGTGACCAACAAAAGTTTAAGATTCTTACATGTTTTGTTCATTGTTATAATGTTCACAAATAAACACTTTGAACAACTATGACAAGTACAATCAGCAGATGTAAAAAGTTGAATGTTTTTTGCCTTCCTTTCACTTTTCTGTTGCACAGGTATGGCTTTCTTGCTGGTCACACCGGAGGAGTTTCCAGCTAAGCTTGAGAATTCTGAATTGTTTGAAAGAATTGAGAAGTTTGTGCAGGTCCATAGAAACAGTTTTCTTCTGCTTCAAGCCCCAGTCTATGGAAAAAGGGAGTGGGAGATTTTATCATCAGTACAAAACAGGTGCATAATGAATGGAAGACTACAAATGTACAACCTTACTTTGAAAGCAAGCACCCCATCTTACATACTTACATGACCAAAGGGTTCCGGAGAGCCACTTAGACTAAGATCCACTCAGACTCAGAATAAGATGCCTGTGTGGTATAATTATTTTTCAAAAATGACTAATATTAATACTAAATAACTAATGAACCACACTTTGTGAAAGAACTCGGTTCTGGCCAGCAGTGAGAACTGTTTTCTTTCAAAGCTCTCATAATCTACTGAGCCGGACAAATACGAGTATGTGATAAAATGGTGTAACTCTTGATGTTTTATTTTTGCAACAGATTTCTTGGCTGTAACCTCAGAGTCATACCTGTGCACAGTACTGCTGATGTAGTGAAGGGAATGCTGGTCATTGCTAAGGTAAGTTGTGATGTTTTTCTACAATTCATTGTGAATGATTCACATTCTTTATTAATTATAATTTTCTAGATTTTTTTTTTTTTTTTCATTTTACAATGAATGCTGTATCGAGGTCAATTATGGGATTTTAATGTCCATTTTAATTTAACATCAAGAACAGTGCTCACTATATAAGCATGCATAGTAAAATTGCATAAATAAAAAATTAATTAGCATGGTGCATGCAAAATGTTTAATGGCCTTTTTATTCCAGGCAACAAGTAAACCCAATGGGGCGAATTTGAGAGATCAGATGTCTTTGGCTTGTACTTACATCATTGATCATAGCCCTGATTGGGGGATGCTTCAAGAGATGCAGTTCTAATGCGATTTACTGTATGTTCCTCTCCATTCATGCTCTTATTGCGTGCTATACTTGTTTTAAACAGCAGATGTCAGTCTTGTTTCATAGTAAGTTGTGTCTGGCAAACTGTTCCTTGCCATTCATACTTTGTTGTTTAGCCTTGAAAAAACATTTTCTTTCAAAATAGATCATAAACTATTAAGAACAAAGTATAAACACTGTCAGAGGAAAAATGTCCAACTTTTATTTGTGCTGGAAGAGTCTTCAAAGTCAGAATACAGAATAGTATTGAAAATATTGATATTGTTGCTTTTACATTGCATTTATATCATTACAAATGTGTCATGCTACAGGGAAAGTAAATAAATAAATAAATTAATACATTATTCAGTTCAGAAAGCAGCAATTGTCCCCATTTCAGTTTTGACTATCCTCAATTATTTCCTCTATACGGACCACAAGGCTTTTCATTAAGTCATATGTGACCAGGGCACACTGCAAGACCTGCAAATGATATGTTTAGAATGCTTTATGATTTACTGTCCCTATTTTAAAACTGAATTCAGATAAGTAGTACTGATAATCTAACCTTATCCTGTGCCTCACATGGCATGTTGCCAAGCATCTCCGTTTTCACAATCAAGCTCTGAACTGATCTCTTCCCAGAGACCTCCTTAAATTCTGTGGGGAAAAAAATACTACAAGTCAAATTCCATTTTCTTCACTATATAATAATTACCATTTTACAGGGAAAGAATACAAAGTATGTATTACCTTTAGCCTTGATCTTTTTGTCCTCTCTAAGTCTTTTTAACTCTGTCCTACAGTATGATTTTGACATGCTTAGACATAGTCGTAATAATTTTGTGTAACTGTCTGCAATGTGGCACAGGTCTATCCATATTCCAGTCTGAAAAAAACAAGGTGGGTCTTATTAATAGAACAAGATGAAAATATAAGTGTAATGTTATATATAGTTGTGTTTTGACAAAATGTTGTAAAAAATCTTACAGAATTGTTTCTTTCCTGTATCAATAAATACCGCAGAAGATTCAGAGACTCCATTACCCTTCAAAACAATAAAGACAAAATATGAATATGGAGGGGAAAAAATCAAACAACAAATAAATTGTATTGATTATAGTCAAATTTAGTCCTAAGATATTTATTTTGCTAAATACAGAGAGTTCCACAGAACGGGTGCATATTGTGGTAAAAGCTGACAAGTTTATCATTTGCATATCAGCAGGATGAAGGAAGGCCTAAGTAATTTATCAGCAGCAGATTATCCAGATGAGGTATGTCAATCACTCAGGTTTTAGTATCATTTTAGGAATGACACAGGATCTGCCTCATAATATTGGACTGCTCACCATCTGTTCTGTATTGTGGGATCATGGCAGTAAACCTGGACTACACTCATTAATAAATTATGGTTAGGGATGGATTGTATCTTGTTAGTAGGAGATCTAACATTTAAAATAGAGACAGCTACCATATGTGGAGTCTGTACTTGGGTTACGATTCATGTCAATGATTTGTTGATATAAAAGTTGATTAGATGCATCAAGATGCAGTTCTGAGCATTTAGTGGCTCGTCAGGCGATTGTTTTCCTTTAAACTTTTTGTAAAAATACAGGTTTTCTTCACCTGTCCATCCCATGTAGCAAGTCAGTTTCATGGCCCTGTGGGAGAATGATAGTGTCTCTGAGCAGTGAGATGAGTGGAGTCTCCTCAAACCAGCTGTCTTCTTGGGCTGACTTTAATCGAAAAAGAGAAAATATACCTAACATCAGTGATTCAGTGTTGATGAAAATCCTATCACTTGGACAAGCAGACAGATAAGCAGCATGTGATTCATAAATTTAAGACATCTGATTGTTTTGTGCACTACCTTTCTGTACCGTTCCACTTGATTCTTTATGTTTTTGATGATGATACTTTCTACACCTGCATGATGGCTAGTCTTCATGATACGTCTTAGAGCATTTACAAAGGAGAAATAAGCAATTTATACCCAGACTAAAATGTTCTACTTTTTATATTTATGTAAACCAGAATATTACATTCACATATTGATAGCAGTTTTACTTAAATATATATTTAAACTTTCTAGATACCATACCTGAAAAAGTGTGCTTCGCTTCACCATTAAGCTTCTCTATAAAAAGCTGGAACACCACAAGACTTTTTCCTCTCTGAATGAAAGAGAGCAAATGACCGTTAAAAAAAAAAAAAACTTTCATTCACACTGATCAGATTTACTTGTAAAAGCAAGTTGTGTCTCATCCATACTTACCAAATGCTGGATAGGACAGTCAATCATAATTGTAATTAAGTTCTGTGAACAAATAACAAAAGTTGTCTTGTAAATTAGCACTGTCATTAAAAAAGTAAACATTTTTGTTTTTACCAAGGATGCCCCAATTATTAAAATTCTGGGAATAATTCTACCGATAAGTTAAAACAGAATCTAATATCAGCTGATAACTGATATGTAACCAATATATTGTGCATCCTTAGATTTCACCACCAAAAAATTAATGTATGTTTTAAAAAGTAGGTGATTATTTATTTCTTTATTCCATAACAATACATAGCATTGCTGCATACCTTTGGAACCTCATGAAATGGTTTCAGATCTAAGAGCTCCACTGGAAGACTGCAGTCTGTTACTCTTTCCAAACTTTTAACGTGTAAGTCCTAAAAAATGCAAGACATTTTATAGCAAATGACTACTCATTACTGAAAATGTAAGCATGTACATAGTTTTCTGTACTTGTAATAAATGTTTTGATGAAAGTTTACCAGTCCTTTCAATATCCATGATTCATCCTTTCTGTATAGGGTAAAAAGCAGGAAGGAAAGTCAGACTAAATACATGGTACACTATTTTCATATTTTTATTTATTCTTTTTTACACACCTACTTAAAAGAAGATTGATGTATTCCATATTACACTGCAGGACGAAAACAGGGCTGAAATAAAAAATAAAATTTAACATTTATGTTAGAGCGCATGTACATTTAAAGTGTAGCAGTTGCATAAACTGCTTTCATAGAGACATTGCTATTGTGTACCACAAATTGAAAAAATGGTGCCAAATGTATCAGAAAGCTTTTGAGCACAAAACAAGATTCTCAACTCTGCAAGCGAAGGGGATTTTTAACCCCTTTTGAAAGCCCAAGAGATCTGTGGCCTTAACAGCTCACACTGTCTTTGAGTCTGATAAACATATGGTGAGATGAGAAAAAAACAAAACACATTTTTATAGTCTTGAGGTCTAACTGCAACTTACCAAAAAACTGTAGGAAACACTTCTATGGCAATAAGCTGGACAAAAAGCAAGTAAGCCATGCAAGCTCTTGATTCATTTAGATGACAAGCATCTTTCTCCAAAATGGTGTCTTCTTTTCCTCTCAAAGGATGGTAGAACAGGATTTTTGGCAGAGATTCTTGTATCACTGCTAGGATTGCCTAGTATTAGAAGCACAGAAACACTCAGAAGTCAGGTCATCCTTTTTCTAAAAGTACCGTGCCTAAGCCTAATAGTAACAACAAAGTTAGTGATATCATTACCATTATTTCTGTGGCAAAATTCCACAAGGGTGAAATTTCTGTCATGTTCGCCTCTCTGTCCAGCTGAACATGGAGGAGAGGTTCCCTTAGACTTGCCATGCAACTGAGCCATTACACAATTTGAAGAATTAGGTAAAATACTGGTTAAGATCACGTGCATATAATCAACAAAGTACATATTTCTTAACATTGTCGCTTAAATGACTGCTAATTTTCAAAATGTTAACTGACATCAGACTCTGACAATCGGTTATTTTTCACTTAAGACAGCCCATCATATCTTCACTGATGGTTTATAAAAACTGTTTCTCTTGCTTAGAACAAAACTGAACATTGTCTAAATCCCATAATTTGTATTATTTTTTAGATGTTTTAAGACTTTTTCAGACTTGCGGTAACCGATCATATTTTCATTAATACTTTTTGAGAATTGCTTGCTTGCGCTTTAAACAAAATGAACAACATTTAAATTGATAAACAGAACAATATCGACCAATAAATATCTTAATAGCCTTTGAAAGTTTAGATGTGCATGAGTCACTGCAGCACAGATATATCTGTGCTAGACACAATCTATTTAACACTATAAATACAACATAGATAGATCTAAATCTGGAGGATCACTCATCTCATTATATCATCATATCGCCCAGCCCTAAAACTTGCTCTAGGGTAAAGCACTATGGCATTAGAGACATAACAGTGTGACTTTCTTTAAAGGGGTCATATGACGTTGCTAAACAAGAACATTATTTTGTGTATTTGGTGTAATGAAATGTGTTTATGCAGTTTAAGGTTCAAAAAACATATTATT